ACCTGGCTTTGCACCAGTCGATACACTGCCCTGTATGCATACCAGACCAGCCTCTCTGTCCCTGCCAGATCCCCCAGTGAATGGACAAAGAGTGCTGTTCAGTCCTGTGCTCACGAGGAGCAGGGAGATAAATAAGAGCAGAGACTCAAGGAAAGCTAGCACCAGACCTTGGAAGGAAAAGCCCTTGGGACCAAGAAATCACAGGGGACAGACTGAGCACATGTGTCAGGGTGCCCTGCCCCTGACAAGTGTCCCTCCTCCAGGGGTTTTCTGCTGGAGTGAACACGGAGCCTCACAGCTGCAGCTGGCAGCATCTGGAAGGACCTGGAGGCTGCATCTGAGCCGGCACCTCCTGGCCAATATGGCCTGGGCACTGGTGCCCAATTTAATGGCAGAAATAAATCATTTGGTCAAAGTTCTTTTGAAAGAAAAGAGAGAAATTCATTCTGAAGCTACTCAGCACTGTGCACACACTAATGGAGCATTCTAGAGAGAAAGCAACCATTAAAATGTCCCCGATGTGATGTGTGACTTTAAACCACATTATATGTTCACATGAACTGTTTGGCTGGAAGGGTTACATGCCAGCAGAGGGGTGAGGTGAGGACGAGGGTAAAATGCTGCTTACTTAGGCATCTGCATCTGCAGTCCTTCTCTGCTCTGAAGAGCACCGTGCCCCAGGCACACGATGGCGCCTAGGGAACTGTGTCCCTGAAGGCCACCTTGTTTGGCACTGAAGGCTATTCTGGTGGAATGGAGTCTGTGGGTGCGTCTGCCAGCCTGAGTTGGTGGAAACCCACTTCTATGATACCTCATGCCCAGGAGGCGAGGGCCTGCCCCATGAGTTCTTAGGACTTGGGTCAAGGCCGCCCTACCTGCACTGGTCACTTGGGTTTAAGAGGGGACATTGGGTCAAATGAAAGAGAGAGGGCCAGCAGGAGGGGATTGGACCTGAGGAAGCAGCCACACGGAACTTCATCCTGCAGTGTCTCTTTAAGTGGGAAGCAGGTCTGTCTGCTGAGTTGGTACACTGCAGGTGCATCCACAGAGCACTCATCCATAACTTGGCTTGTTGGGCTTCTGTGTTAATGTAAAAGCATCACATTTTGGCCACTGAGAGAAGATTCTCTCATGTGAGAAGCTATTTTGGTTCCAAACATGGCAATGTCTTTGTGGATCCTCCCTCCCCAACAGCCACAGTCTGCAGACCTGGGCTGGGTGTGAGGCCAGGCTGCCTGTGGTGTGACCCGGTGGAGACACAAGGCATCCGCCCTGGGAGCTGTGGCCTCACAGACCTGCTGGGGACCACAGGGACTGCTGGTGGACACTGGCAGCAGGTGGCCGTGTGTACCCTGGCTGGGGTGCATGAGGCCTGGTGTGCTGGTGTCGGCAGCAGGGCCCTTGCAGCAGGCATCCCACTCAGTATGTGATAAGAAAGACTGACTCAAGGCCTCCTCAGAGGTGTTTACATTTCTGTATCCAGGCCTGGGTTCAATGCCCAGGACAGTGGAAAAGCTGCTTTTGTGTGGACTTCTGCAGATTGTGAGCCTCTGAGTTCCTCCCTCTACATGCTGGGTACAAAGTTCAAAAACTTTCTGAACTCAGTTTTCAGGGGGATTGATGAACTGTGGCAAAAGCCTCCCTTCTGAACCTGGCTGCAGCCAATGAACCTAGTTCCTGCTAATTCCTTGATGTCCAGCCTCATCTGTCCCACAACACTGCCTGAGGGAACAGGGCCTGTACCAGAGGCTGGTAGTTCTGTCCAAGAGCAGGAAGGAGCCAGCCACATGCAGTTGAGCTGAGTCCTGGATTCTGGACATCTGGCCCCTTAGCCCCCTGTGTAGCTACCTTGACTTCCAGGAATGTTCCCTCCTTCCCTGTTCCATTCCTGTCCCCTGGGAATTCTCCCAGGGAGTTGATCCACCTGCTGCCTCTGCCTGATCCAGGCTGTTTGTTCATTCCGTGAATATGGAACTTAGCTGGGAGGGAGTAAGCCTGGACCCTGACAGCTAACTGATTGCCAGGAAGTGGTGAATCATGGGGAAGGATGTGGAGCCCAGAAATGGACCAAGAGCCCCATCTGGGAGTTGCTGCTTGTGGCCTGAGTCAGTCTTCACCCCAGCTATTGCATCCTGAACTGCTCAGTTACTGGAGCCAGCAAGTTCCCGTCCCTGTGAGCAGCTCTGAGTCGGGTTTTCTGCCTCTTTCTGCCTGAAGTGCCTGCTGGATACCAGGTGCTTCCAGGGTACAATGTGGAACTGGGGCTGCAGCTGGCTGGTCCTGGCTTCTGCCACTGTTCTGAGAGCAGGAGCTGCTGTGGGCAATGTCTGGCCCAGTGAGAGAGATCAAGGTGGTGAACAGAGAGCCCTGAGGCCACAGGTGTCCCTTAACATCTCCCAGAGCTCTCTGGCCACCCAGGAAAGGGTCCAGTCAGGAGCATTCTCTGGAGGTTGTCATTGAGGAGCCATTGGTGAGGAAGGTGCAGTCCCCAGAGGGGGCAGGAAGAGGAGAAGCAGCAGTATAGTAAAGCTGCTGCCAATGGAGATTTTTATTTTATTTTTTTTATTCATAGTTCTTTCCACATAGCCTGAAGCCACTTTGTGTGGAGTTGACCTTCAGTCATCATCTGCTGGCTGGCTGGCTGGCTGGCTGGTTAGGTAGACAGATCAGTGAATTAACAGATGGATGGTGAGTGATGGTGAGTGGATGGAAGAAAAGATGGATGGATGAGTTAAGGATTAATGAATGGATGGATGAATTAGTGGACAAATGGATGAATGTAGGATGCGTGAGTGAATTAGTGAATGGTTCTATGGATGAATGGATGAACAGAAGAATGGAGGAATACATGGATGAATGAGTGAATGGATAATAAATGGATGGGTGGAAGAATGGAAGGATGGATGGATACATGAAGGAAGGAAGGATGGAATGATCAGTGAATGGATGGATGGATGCATGAGTGTGGTGAGCCGTTCCTATAGACCGTGGCCGCCATTAGAAGATGGCGCCGGCTTCCACTGTGGCCTGTGATAAACAACTCCTTTTTTGGAGAGTTGGCACGTAATCCCTTATCACCCTATGAGAAAGCTCCACGTGGCAGCTTTGCATTGGGGCTTGAGATGCTTTATTAAGGCTGGGAGGGGCATCCGAGAGGAGGAAGAAGAAATATCAGGGACCTGAATAAACTGCTGAAAGAAGATTCCTGAGTTGCGTCTTCCTTGCGGGCAAGGGGTCGCGACACATGAGGAAGGAAGGATGGATGTATGAAGGATGGATGGGTGGAATGATCAGTGAATGGATGGATGCATGCATGTGGGAGGAAGGAAGGATGGATGGATGGGTAGATGAAGGAAAGAAGGATGGATGGAATGATCAGTGAATATATGGAGGGATGCATGAGGGAGGAAGAAAGGATGGATATAGATGGATGCATGAAGAATGGATGCATGAATAAAGGATGAATGGATGAAGAAGGATGGATGGATGGATGAAATGATGAGTGAATGGACAGAGGGATGGTTGATGAATACATGGATAAACCATAGCCAGGTGATGACACTAGTAAGGTTGGAGTTGAGTTCATGGGAATGCAAAGGTGTAGAGGCCAGGAAATAAAAGTTATAGAAACCTCATGTTCTTAGGCTCACTGGTATCAACATTAAACCCAATCTTAGACTGATATTCTCAGAAGAAACAAAGATTTTTTTTAACAGAAAAAATTAAGATTCCAAGAGTAATTAAGGAATGATGATTCCTGTGATCATTAGAACTGAGATGCGTTTATGATGTCAAGTGGAAAACAGCTGTTTTTAAATTCAACTTTTTCATTTCCCATGAGATTTAAATGTTTTATGATACCTTAAAACAACTTGCTGAAGAGAACTCTTTGTAGACAGTCTACATACAGAATGGCCCTGACTCCATACAGTGTATATATCAACTTCAGTAAAAGATACTGTATAACTTTTATTGGATTTATGAAAAGAAATGCAATAATATGCACATATATTGGATTTTTTGATAATTTAACACGTGTACACACCTGCAAAACCCAAAACAAAAACATGACTACCTCTTCCCTTCCAAAGTCTCTTCAGTCCCTGTCACCTGCAGGGAAACACAGATCCTGCTTTCTATCACCATTCCTTTATTTGCAACTTCCAGAATTGTACATAAATGAATCCACACAGTATGTATGGGGGGGGGGGGGTTCTGGTTTATTTCACTAAGTACAATTATTTAAAATTTAAACCAGAAATGAGGCTTATTTCTTTATGTTGCAAATATCAAGAGCTTGTTTTTTTTTTTTTTTTTTTTGTATTTGTGAGTACATTCAATCATGTGGAGAGACCATCATTATCCATTCATCTACTGATGGAAAGTTGAATTGTGTCTAATTTTTGGCTAATAAACAAAACACCTGTATGTGTCTTGTAAGGACATACTTTTTCATTTCTGTTGTGTAAATTCCTGTAGAATGACAGGATCATAAAGTAGGTAAATGTTCAACTTTAAAAGAAACTGCTTGGGTCAATCAGAGATCTCCAGAGAAACAGAATCCATAGTACATGTAGAGATGTTTGTGAGAGGAGATTTATTAAAAGGTTTGGCTCATGTAAGTGTGGAGGCTGAGCAGTCCTGAGATCTGATGTCTTCAAGCCTGTAGCCTCACTCATGTCAAGTCTGAAGGCCTGAGAACCAAGAGCACTAAGATCCAGGGCAGGGAGGGGAGGTCCCAGCTCCCTCCTCCTGCACCACCTTGCTCTCTTCAGGACCCGCATCATGTGGGGGTGCCCACATGCTCCCACGAGGTCATTACCTCCCCAGTACCTGGGACCTTGTTTACCAATTCAAAGGTTGTGGGGACAAGTGCATGGAGTACTGCATACATGGCATATGCTAAGGGCGTCTGAGTGGCAAACCACTCCCCCATGCTAGGCGTGTGAGTGGAAAACCGCTTACCCCATAGGCACAGCCCTGGGTGTGGGGCCACGTGTTGCAGTCCGTGTGCTTGCTCCATGGCCCACTCCTCAATTGGTTGCTGCAGGGACAGTTGGCCAGCAATTGTATTGGTGGCTGCTTGTAATCTTCTTAGCTACTGCCTGAGTAACATGGTAGCTGTGTTAGACCTGCTTCCTGCTTGGTCTTGGCTCACTGGTATCAGCATTAAACCCAATCTTAGACAGATATTCTCAGAAGAAACAAAGACTCTGAGACTCCACGACTCCGCGACTCCACGACTCTGCAGCCACAATCTCCTCTACTCTGTTCCATGGACCTCCTTGCTGGATGAGAGAACCCACGCCGCTGGCACCTGAGCAAGGGTCTGAGGTAAGCCTATAAGACAGGGTGTGGCCCCTCACAGAGCAGTGAGAAAGGGGAAATGAGGAACCTACAGAGTTCCACCACAGACTTGCAGCTGCCAGTGCTGCGCACTCTCTTAGATACTAGAGGCTTAATCATGAATAAGAGAGAAGCCCAGAAGTTCTGGGTTATCAACACTAACCCTTAATCGATGCTGCTGATGTTTCTTATCCTACTATATGGGACAAGATAATGGCAAATGCGGGACAAGCTAAAATGAAACAGGGGAATATTTTACCACTACATTTTTTTTCCTATTGTGACAGCCATTCAGCAAAGTTTAAGGGGCCCTGCCATAGACTATTGTCATATAATGATGGCCCTGAGGGAAGATGAGGCTGTGAAAGATAGGGGGAAAAAGGCGGGAGACCATCTACCTCAAAGCAAGCAACTGCAGCAGGCACAGGAAAGCAGGGGCGAGAATCTACTTCAAAGCAAGCAACCACAACAGTTACAGGAGGGAGACAGACAGGAAATGGTACCTCTAGCCTTCATGAGCAGGAAGAGGTGACCACAAATGGTGCAGGTGTGCCTTCTACAGACAGGCAAAGATTATATCCTTCCCTGAGTCAATGGTAACTGCCTCCTTATGAGGCAACGCCAAAGCCAGCAAAGGGCTATGACAGTTTGGAAATGACTAGGCCGCCAGACAGGCCTAAGCCATGGTCTCCCAGAAACCCATTCCAGGAGGCCAGAGATCCTTTAGAATATCTATGTAAGAGATGAGAAGTGGGGTAAGGTAGTACAAGCCTTCCCAGTCAACACAGCCCCCATACCACAGCGCCTTGCCATTTGGTATCCACACACATTGGGTACCCTGAAGGAGTTAAAGAAGACAGTGAAAGAGGATGGGCCCTGGGGGGCCATTTGCAGAGCAAATTCTCAAATCACTCAGTCTTGAACTTAATTGCCCTCAAGACTGGAAAGACCTAGCCAAAGTAGCTCTTGAGCTGGCAACATTTTTGAAGTGGAAGGCATTTTTCTATGATGAATGTGAATAGCAGGGGGATCATAACCACACCACAAATGTTAACCTCCCAGCTGAATGCTTGCAGGGAATGAGAATCTACAGTTCTCCTGCTGTACAAGCCACAGGCCCACCAAATTATTTTGATCAGGTGTGGCTCTGTGCTCTGAGAGCCTGGAGGAAGTTACCAGCTGGGGAAGGTACAGTTTCCATATAGGGCTTAAGGAAGAAAGTCACTGAGGACTTGCCACAGTTTATTGACAGAGTAAACAAGGTGGTAGAAGAAAAGTGTCTCATGAAGGAGCTAGGGTGACCTCAGCCAAGAAATTGATCTGGGACAGACTAAATAAGGAACATAAAGCAGAAGAGGTGCCAGTATGAAATGGAAAACTGGATGAATGGATTTTGGTCACCCTGGATAGAGGGACACAAGCAGCTCAAGCCTCTCTGTAGCCCGTAGCCATGGCAATTACATAAAAGCAGGACTAAGGAGGCTTACAGACAGCTAGTCAGAGACTGCAAAAACTGTGCACATTTTCTCTCCATTGGCCCTTTAAAACCTGCCGGAGTGAATCCCCAAGAGTTAAAATCTAATTCTTTATGGCAAATGGATGTTGCTCATTTTGCTCCTTTTGGAAATTTAACATATATTCATGTAATTTTTGATGTCTATTCAGGCTGTGTAATGGCCACAGCCTACACAGGAGAAACCATAAAAAGATCATCTCCCATCTACTTCAATGTTTTGAAATTATGGATGCTCCCATGTCTATTAAAATTGACAAAGGGCCAGCCTATACCAGCAAGACATTTCAAGTGATTTGCAATGGTTAGCATATACAGCACTTAACTGGGATTCCCTATAACCCTTAGACTCAAGGCATCATAGAAAGAACACACAAGGAATTAAAGATCATGCTACAAAACAGAGGGGGAAACTATACCAAGTCCCCTCATGATGCCTTTAAAGAATCTTATTTGCTTTAAATTTTCTTTCACTTTCAAAAATTTCTATAGAAGTAGCAGCCCCTAAGCATTGGCCCCCCTCTTGGGGCCCTCCCATCTACCTATGGTTTCATGAAAGAATCCCATAACAAATGCATGCGATGGTCTGGGGCCCCTCTTAACCATGGGTGGAGGGCATATGTTAACAAGAGCCTTATCCCATCTGGGTGCCTGCCAGAAAGTTAAGCCCTGGACCCCAGAACCACCAACCAAGAAGATGAAGGAACCGACTCTGGAGGAGAAACCTCACAAGCAAAGACCTCAACAACGCAAACGGCCCTCACATAAAGTAACCTGGGGTGATATTGAAGGTCTTGTTGACTGAGCCAGTGGATTGGCCCCTCTGCCTGGTGGCAACCCCATCCCTGGGCCTACGACAATGGTCCTAGTGTGTTCAATGCTCACCGCTAACAGTGAAACCTCCCATGAGTTAAATTGAGCTTTGGTCACTAGGCCACCACCTTTAGCAGTGGCTAATTGGGAAGGGGCTTTATCCAAGCTCTTCTCTAATAATTCCAACCTTATTGATCCTGAGTTATCCATCCAGGAGATAACTGTACCCTGGAACACTAGCCTTTCCATACCTACTCTGCCCATTTGTCTCTCCATAGTATATAATAAAACCTATAATCCAGGCAGTTCTCTGTTTTGCTCTTGCCAATAAAACTATTGTAGATAACTATAATAAGTCATATATTGGGCTATCTCTCAATGACCTTAAAGTTATACTCAATGCTACCTATACCCATAGACTCCCCCATGGCAAATGCAAGAAACCCTTGCTGCCAACATGCCCAACAATTCTTTTAGAAAGCCCCCCCCCCCCCGCTCAGATAATGATAGCATCCCATGGAATCAATGTGTCACTGCCACACCTTATCTCCTAGATAAGAGGAATTTCTCCAAGGAAGAACAATATCTATGTGCCTGGGCAGGCGCAGCTCCCTGGAATGTAACTAATGTGCCCCCAAACAATATGGGCTACTGTAGTACCTGCTACATGGGACAAGCTGTTACCAACTGGTATGCAGGAAATCAGTATGGCATGAGGGATTTCATGCCAATATTGCTGGCTGCTAGACCCATCAAATGGGCAGTAGCTGGCTGGATGAATGGGTCGATATTGAGTCCAGACCCTGACCATGGATTTGCCTTTGTACCAAATTATACCCATACCCGCTATGTACAGGCTTGTGTTATACCACCCTTTGCCATGCTAATAATCAATGATACTGATGGCATAAATATCAATTGTACAGAGGTCCCTTGTGCAGTCAATACATCCTCCTGGCTCACAAATTATCTAACCCCTGCTGTGAAAGCTAAACGTATATTTATCCTCAGAGTATCCCCAGCAATCTGGCTTTCAGTGAACCTGTCCAGAGAGTGGAGCAAGCACAGGGACTGCAATAATCAGCCCCACGCCCCACATAGAGATGAAGAATCTTCTGAATGAGACCCTACACTAGACAAAGTGAGCAATTAGCCTCATCATCGCTGGAATTATTGTCCTGGTAGCTGCTGCCATCGCCACCACAGCCACTGCTGCTGCTTCGCTCATTCAGATTATCCAGACTGCTCAGACTGTAAACAATTTGTGTACTGCCATTGCAGAAGCCTTTGCTGTTCAAAATGACTTAAATAAACTGTCCCAAGCCACTATTTTAGCCATTCAGGAAGAACTAGACCTTCACCAGGAACAACTAGATATTCTGTTTATATTACAGAGGCTCACTTGTGTCCCTAAATTTTATAGTATTTGGGTCACCCAATGTGCTGTATCTGAAAATGTAACCTTACACTTCTCCAATATTTCTCAGTATATTAAGCGTTCTTGGGATGCAAACTATGTTATGACTCTGCATAACCTTACCAAGACAATTGTCAAAATCAATGAGACTAAGGGTCTATCTTGACAACCTCTTCCTTTTACTAGGGCTTGACTGAACATTGAAAAAACCTGATAGCCAAATTACTAATCTTATAATGCCGTTACCCTGGCCTTACTGTTTATAATAGTGATAGTATTTTCTTGTGTTGTGAGATGCTTATGTAACCATGTAAAGACCACCGAATGAAAAACAGCAATGCTGGCTGAAGTCCTGGCAGCACAGTCAGAGCGGGGAGATGTGGGGACAAGTGCATGGAGTACTGTGTACGTGGCATATGTTGAGGGCGTCTGAGTGGCAAACCACTCCCCCATGCTAGTCGTGTGAGTGGAAAACCGCTTACCCCATAGGCACAGCCCTGGGTGTGGGGCCATGTGTTGCAGTCCCTGTGCTTGCTCCATGGTCCACTCCTCGATTGGTCGCCGCAGGGACAGTTGGCCAGTAATTGTACTGGTGGCTGCTTGTAATCCGCATAGCTACTGCCTGAGTATACATACATGGTAACTGCTCAATAAAATTAGACCTGCTTCCTGCTTGGCCTCTGGAGGTCTTGATTAATGACTCCACAGCCACACTCTCCTCTACCTTATTCTGTGGACCTCCTCACTGACAAGAGAGAGCCCACACAAAAGTTCACTCTCCTCTGGAAACACCCTCACAGACATAGCCAGAATTCATGTTCTGTTGACTCTCTGGGCCTTCTTCAGCCGACTTAGGTTGAAACATAAAATCAGCAATCACACTGCAAAACCATTTATCAAAGCACTCACTGCTGGACTCCGCAGTGAATCAGAGTAGCCATTCTGCATCTGCACCAGAACTCATGCAGCCTGTACCTCTGTCTAGGACATTCGGCTCCTCTGCAGGCACTTCCACGGTGGTTCCAGACTAGTGCGGTCCTGAGCTCCCCACACACCTCATTTGTTTGGACTTGCGTTGGCTGAGCCCGTGCCTTCTAATGTGTGTGTGAACCCTGTGTAGAGCTGCAGTCGCTGGGGCATTCCACCACACTCGGATTAACACTTCCAACATGATTGTGTAAGTCCACCAAAATCCTATGTTGCGTGATTGTCATTGTTGTCAGAGGGTAGAATTGAGTCTGGTCCCTTTACTTGCTTTGGTCTCATGCAGAAGCCCCGCTTTTTAAACACATGAAGATCTCTGAAATCTCTGTGTCTTAGAGTCTACATCTTTGATTGAGGGTAGCATCTTATTCTGGAAGAGCCTTCCATAACACCTTTTCTCTGCAGCTTTGAGTTTGCTCTATATCATAACAATGATGGAAAGGGGAAGTAATTCCAAGCAATAGATCCTGCACTTTTCTTCTCTCTTTTTTTTTTTCCCTTGGTACTAGGGATTGAACCCAGGGGTGTTTTACCACTGGGCAACATCTCCAGCCCTTCCTTCCTTTCTTTTAAAAAAATTTTTTTTTAGTTGTAGATGGACACAGTACCTTTATTTTATTTATTTATTTTTATGTGGTGCTGAGGATGGAACTCAGTGCCTCATGCATGCTAGGCAAGTGCTCTACCACTGAACTACAATGCACTCCCTTGTCAGCCCTTTCTTATTATTTTTTTGAGACAGGGTCTCACTAAGTTGCTTAGAGTCTCACTAAGTTGCTGAGGATGGCTTTGAATTTGTGATCCTCCTGCCTAGCCTCCCAAGCTGTTGGGATTATAGGTGTGTACCACCATACCCAGCTACTTTTTCATTTTTCTTCAAAGCGTGCATCTTTAATGTGAAAAACAGTAAAGAAAATGCTCATTTTAGCTGCATGGATATCAGATCAACAGATCTATAATCTAAATACCTGATTAGAAGAATATGAACTTCAACATTTCATTATCACTTTCAAGGGGTAGCTTGAGCAGGGGTGTGGCAGGGAGCTTGGTACTTGGCAAGACACATGCTAGAGGACTGGGAAGACCCCAGCTTTGGGAGCATGCAGAGAGCCAGGGGAAAGAGACTGGGTGAGCAAATGCAGGCCATCTGCCTGGGCTTCCAGGCCCAGTGAGTGCAGCCTGCCTTGGCTTGAGGACACATTAGAGCAGGTGATGCCATGAGGACACTGTAGAGATTTGGGTTTAGAAAGAGTTCAAGAGGTTGGAGAGAGAAAGAATGGTGGGAATTGAGGATGGGGGATGTTTGCCCGTGTCATGGTGTTATCAGATCTAATCAGCAAGGAGAGATGTCCTTGTTCTGAGCTCTCAGGCCCTGAATCTTCACCCCAGGTGTGAGTGTGAGCATGGACATCAAATGCATTTCCTAGAAGTACTTTTCTTCCGCAGGAAGAGACTAACCAAGGAACAAAGGAAGTGTTTGCTGGTTTCTTGCCTGATGTATCTGTCAGGGTGTGTCACTGCCAGGGCATTGGGCGGTTGTCTCCAGAACCTGAGCATGTGTCCCACAGGCATCTGGCTGCTCACAATCAAGAATGCAGGAAGCAAGGACAAAGAGCACCTGCGAAGGGCCAGATCATGTGTCCTGTAGGCTTCGCAGATCAAGAGGCAAAATTGAGGATGTCATGTAGATACTTCCCATGAACATTCTTTTGCATTGAAGACGTTTAAAATATAAAACTAAGTGAAGATATCTATGATCATTCGCCTATTAATGAGAAGAAAGTGTTTTTTGGGGGGTATAGAATTTTTATTAATTTTATTTCAGAGTCAGTGTGTCCAGTCATCAGATAGATTTCACATATTCATCTATAGAAACCATTCTCAGTTGTGTGTAGGGACAGACAAGGCCAGGCACTGAAAATAGCAGGAAACAGTTTTATTTGGCTGCAGCCAGGTTCAGTGGGCACAGCTTTTGCTGTATTCAATTAATCTCCTGAACCCCAAGTTTAGGTAGTTTCAGAGTTTTATACCCAGCATGTAAGGGAAGGGGCTCAGAAGTTCAAAGTCTGCAGAAGTTCACATAGAAGCAGCTTTTTATTTCACTGTTTTGGGCATGTTAACCCTTCAAGGACAACATCTGAGAAGGAGAGAACTTCTTCTCTCCTTTCTTTTCTCCCTTACTAGCTGTTACCATGGAGCCCAATTGTAACTTATCTTAAAAACGTAGACATCTCTGTGAAGCCCAGCTCAAGGCCAGAGGCCTTGTTCGCACATTTCTACAAACTACTATACTGGATACCTGTTTGTGAAAAACTAGTAAGGGGTGTCCAGCACCTGGAGTGCTGGTATCTTCCCGGCCAGTGGCCAAGAGAACAGGGCGACACAAAAATAGGAAGTTTATCTACATTGGACTCTTTTGCAGAGACTCTTTTGCTGACAGTCCTAAAATCAGCCATGGTGGGGCCACAGGACTCAAACGGGGCTTGGGAAAGTCAGTCAGGACTCACCCGTTGCATTGGTCACCCGGCAAAGGGAACGAAAGGTCACCATTTGCACGGGATACCTCCTTGGCAGAGAACTGACGTCACGGGTGGAGGAGATAACTTCATTGAAACCAGCGCGACAGCATCAAATAAATTTATAAGAGTAAACAGTAACTCAGCAGTCAAACAGAACAAGAAGTAACATGAGCAGCATAAAAAAGCAAGGAAGAAAAGGAGTACAAACAATGAAGGACAGCCTAAATATTCAGGAGGATCTAGAGTCATTAGAAAAATGGTCACATAAAGATCTCAAGGAATACCTTAGACAGATGGAATGGAACCTTAAAGAGGATACGAGACAGCAAATCCAAACAGTGAAAGAGCACATTGAAATTGAATTACATAAACAGATAAAAGAAGAAGTTAAGCATCTTTATCAGGAGATAGAGATTATAAAAAAAATCAAACAATAATTCTAGAAATGAAGGAAACGATAAACCAAATTAAAAACTCAATTGAGAGTATCACTAACAGAATGGAGCAAGTAGAAGCCAGAACGTCAGATAATGAAGACAAAATATATCATCTTGAAAAGAGTCTAGCCAACTCAGAAAGGCTGGTAAAAAATCACGAGAAAAACATCCAAGAGATATGGGATAATATAAAAAAACAAACTTATGAGTCATCGGGATAGAGGAAGGTACAGAGATTCAAACCAAGGGAATGAGTAACCTGCTGAATGAAATAATTACAGAAAACTTTCCAGAAATAAAAAAGGAAACGGATATAAAAATTGTAGATGCATACCGGACACCAAGCACACAAAATCACAGTAGACCAATGCCAAGACACATTGTTATGAAGATATCCAATATACAGAACAAAGAGAAAATATTAAAAGCTACAAGAGAAAGGAGGCAGATTACATTCAGGGGTAAACCAATAAGGTTAACAACGGATTTTTCATCACAGACGCTGAAAGCGAGAAGATCCTGGAACAACGTATTTCAAACACTGAAAGACAATGGATGCCAACCAAGAATTCTGTATCCAGCAAAATTAAGCTTCAGGTACGACAACAAAATAAAAATCTTTCATGATAAACAAAAGCTAAAAGAATTTGCAGCCAGAAAACCAGCATTGCAAAGCATCTTGAGCAAAACACTACACGAAGAAGAAATGAAAAACAATAACCAAAACCATCAGTGGGAAGTGCCTCTGTAAAGACAGAGGGCGGGGAGAAAGCTAATCATGGAGAAACAAACTAATTAAAAAAAAAAAGAAGATAAATAATCAAACATGGCTGGAAGTACAAACCGTATATCAATAGTAACTCTAAACGTTAATGGCTTAAACTCTCCAACAAAGCGACATAGGCTGGTAACATGGATTAAAAAAACAAATCCAACAATATGCTGCCTCCAGGAGACACATCTGATTGGAAAAGACATACACAGGCTGAAGGTGAAAGGTTGGGAAAAAATATACCACACACACGGTCCTCGTAAGCAAGCAGGGGTGGCCATCCTCATATCGAATAAAATCGACTTCAAGACTAAGTTAATCAAAAGGGATAAGGAAGGACATTATATACTGTTAAAAGGAACCATGCACCAGCAAGACATAACAATTATCAATATTTATGCACTAAATAATGGTGCTGCGACGTTCATAAAACAAATTCTCCTCAAGTTCAAGAATCAAATAGACCACAACACAATAATTATGGGTGACTTCAACACACCTCTCTCACCATTGGACAGATCCTCCAAACAAAAGTTGAATAAAGAAACTATAGAACTCAATATCACAATCAATAACCTAGACTTAACTGACATATATAGAATATATCAACCATCATCAAGTGGATATACTTTTTTCTCAGCAGTACATGGATCCTTCTCAAAAATAGACCATATATAATGCCATAGGGCAACCCTCAGTAAATATAAAGGGGTGGAGATAATACCATGAATTTTATCTGATCATAATGGAATGAAACTGGAAATCAATGATAAAAGAAGGAAGGAAAAATCCTACATCACATGGAAAATGAACAATATGTTACTGAATGATCAATGGGTTACAGAAGACATAAAGGAAGAAATCAAAAAATTCTTAGAGATAAATGAAAATACAGACACAACATATCGGAATCTATGGGACACAATGAAAGCAGTTTTAAGAGGGAAATTCATCGCCTGCAGGTCATTCCTCAAAAAAAGGAAAAACCAACAAATAAATGAGCTCACACTTCATCTCAAAGCCCTAGAGAAGGAAGAGCAAAACAACAGCAAATGTAGCAGAAGGCAAGAAATAATTAAAATCAGAGCGGAAATCAATGAAATTGAAACAAAAGAAACTATTGAAAAAATTAACAAAACTAAAAGTTGTTTCTTCGAAAAAATAAATAAGATTGACAGACCCTTAGCCATGCTAATGAAGAGAAGAAGAGAGAGAACTCAAATTACTAACATACGGGATGAAAAAGGCAATATCACAACAGATCCTACAGAAATACAGAAGACAATTAGAAATTATTTTGAAAACCTATATTCCAATAAAATAGAAGATAGTGAAGACATCGATAAATTTCTTAAGTCATATGATTTGCCCAGACTGACTCAGGAGGATACTCACAACTTAAACGGACCTATAACAATGGATGAAATAGAAGAAGCAATCAAAAGACTACCAACCAAGAAAAGCCCAGGACCAGATGGGTATACAGCAGAGTTTTACAAAACCTTTAAAGAAGAATTATTACCAATACTTTTCAAGTTATTTCAGGAAATAGAAAAAGAGGGAGCTCTGCCAAATTCATTCTATGAGGCCAACATCACCCTGATTCCGAAACCAGACAAAGACACCTCAAAGAAAGAAAACTACAGACCAATATCTCTGATGAACCTAGATGCAAAAATCCTCAATAAAATTCTGGTGAATCGGATACAAAGGCACATCAAAAAAATTGTGCACCATGATCAAGTAGGATTCATACCTGGGATGCAAGGATGGTTCAATATACGGAAATCAATAAATGTTATACACCACATCAATAGACTTAAAGATAAGAACCATATGATCATCTCGATAGATGCAGAAAAAGCATTCGACAAAGTACAGCATCCCTTTATGTTCAAAACATTAGAAAAACTAGGGATAACAGGAACTTACCTCAACATAGTAAAAGCTATGTATGCTAAGCCTCAGGCTAGCATCATTCTGAATGGAGAAAAATTGAAGGCTTTCCCTCTAAAATCTGGAACAAGACAGGGATGCCCTCTATCACCACTTCTATTCAATATAGTTCTTGAAACACTGGCCAGAGCAATTAGACAGATGAAAGAAATTAAAGGCATAAAAATAGGAAAAGAAGAACTTAAATTATCACTATTTGCGGATGACATGATTCTATACCTAGAAGACCCAAAAGGGTCTACAAAAAACCTACTAGAACTAATAAATGAATTCAGCAAAGTGGCAGGATATAAAATCAACATGCATAAATCAAAGGCATTTCTGTATATCAGCGACAAAACTTCTGAAACGGAAATGAGGAAAAACACTCCATTCACAATATCCTCAAAAAAAAAAAAATACTTGGGAATCAACCTAACAAAAGAGGTGAAAGATTTATACAATGAAAACTACAGAACCCTAAAAAGAGAAGTAGAAGAAGATCTTAGAAGATGGAAAAATATACCCTGTTCATGGATAGGCAGAACTAACATCATCAAAATGGCGATATTGCCAAAAGTTCTTTATAGGTTTAATGCAATGCCAATCAAAATCCCAACGGCATTTCTTGTAGAAATAGATAAAGCAATCATGAAATTCATATGGAAAAACAAAAGACCCAGAATAGCAAAAGCAATTCTAAGCAGGAAGTGTGAATCAGGTGGTATAGCGATACCAGATCTCAAACTATATTACAGAGCAATAGTAACAAAAACAGCATGGTACTGGTACCAAAACAGGCAGGTGGACAAATGGTACAGAATAGAGGACACAGAGACTAATCCACAAAGCTACAACTATCTTATATTTGATAAAGGAGTTAAAAGCATGCAATGGAGGAAAGATAGCATCTTCAACAAATGGTGTTGGGAAAACTGGAAATTCATATGCAACAAAATGAAACTGAATCCCCTCCTCTCGCCATGCACAAAAGTTAACTCAAAGTGGATCAAGGAGCTAGATATCAAATCAGAGACTCTGCATCTGATAGAAGAAAAAGTTGGCTCCGATCTACATATTGTGGGGTCGGGCTCCAAATTCCTTAATAGGACACCCATAGCACAAGAGTTAATAACAAGAATCAACAAATGGGACTTACTTAAACTGAAAAGCTTTTTCTCAGCAAGAGAAACAATAAGAGAGGTAAATAGGGAGCCTACATCATGGGAACAAATTTTTACTCCTCACACTTCAGATAGAGCCCTAATATCCAGAATATACAAAGAACTCAAAAAATTAGACAATAAGATAACAAATAACCCAATCAACAAATGGGCCAAGGACCTGAACAGACACTTCTCAGAGGAGGACATACAATCAATCAACAAGTACATGAAAAAATGCTCACCATCTCTAGCAGTCAGAGAAATGCAAATCAAAACCACCCTAAGATACCATCTCACTCCAGTAAGATTGGCAGCCATTATGAAGTCAAACAACAACAAGTGCTGGCGAGGATGTGGCGAAAAGGGTACTCTTGTACATTGCTGGTGGGACTGCAAACTGGTGCGGCCAATTTGGAAAGCAGTATGGAGATTTCTGGGAAAGCTGGGAATGGAACCACCATTTGACCCAGCTATTGCTTTTCTCGGACTATTCCCTGAAGACCTTAAAAGAGCGTACTACAGGGATACTGCCACATCGATGTTCATAGCAGCACAATTCACAATTGCTAGACTGTGGAACCAACCCAGATGCCCTTCAATAGATGAATGGATAAAAAAATGTGGCATTTATACACCATGGAGTATTACACAGCACTAAAAAATGACAAAATCATGGAATTTGCAGGGAAATGGATGGCACTAGAGAAGATTATGCTTAGTGAAGCTAGCCAATCCCTAAAAAACAAATACCAAATGTCTTCTTTGATATAATGAGAGCAGCTAAGAACAGAGCAGGGAGGAAGAGCAGGAAGAAAAGATTAACATTAAACAGAGACATGAGGTGGGAGGGAAAGGGAGCGAAAAGGGAAATTGCATGGTAATGGAGGGAGACCCTCATTGTTAACAAAATTACATATAAGAGGTTGGGAGGGGAATGGGAAAATAAACAAGGAGAGAAATGAATTACAGTGGATGGGGTAGAGAGAGAAGATGGGAGGGGAGGGGAGGGGGGATAGTTGAGGATAGGAAAGGTAGCAGAATACAACAGTTACTAATAGGGCATTATGTAAAAATGTGGATGTGTAACCGATGTGATTCTGCAATCTGTATTTGGGGTAAAATTGGGAGTTCATAACCAACTTGAATCTAATGTATGAAATATGATATGTCAAGAGCTTTGTAATGTTTTGAACAACCAATAAAAAAAAAAAAGAAAAAAAAATCAGCCATGGTGAAGATTTCTGGAGAGGCCCAGTTAAAACTTTTCTGTGGAGAAAGGGGGTGCCACTTCAGCTGGGAGCTGCAGAGAAACAGTGGCTGTATTTTAGCCTATGGGCCATTGTTTTTCCAATTTCTGCTGTGTTAAAAGATGAACTTAGCCAAGAGTAATCCCAGTGGCTGAGGAGGCTGAGACAGGAGGATCACGAGTTCAAAGCCAGCCTCAGCAAGGGTGAGGAGCTAAGCAACTCATTGAGACCCTGTCTCTAAATAAAATACAAATTAGGGCTGGGGATGTGGCTCAGTGGTTGAATGCCCCTGAGTTCAATCCCCAGTACCAAAAAAAAAAAAAAAGACTGAACTTAGGTAAATTAAAATTTATTTGAGTAGATTCATGAATATGGCTACTCTGGACCACAAGGGCTGCAGGACTCTGAATAGGGGTGAAGGGAGAACTTTCACAAGGTATTTTCAGAAGGGGAGTGAGAGGGAAGGGTAGGAAGGACAGTAGAATTAATCGGACATTATTACCTATGTGCATATATGACTACATGACTGGTGTGATTCTACATCATGTACAACCAGAAGAATGAGAATTTATACTCCATTTGTGTATGATGTGTCATGTAGAAGTAATTGATCATTTTAAAAAATGGGAAAAAAAGAAAGACAAAGAAATACTTGATTGGTCAGAGTGGCCAGGCCCTAGCAGAAGTGAGCTGGGTTTTTCTGATTAGAAACCTAAACCTACTATTTACAAAGTTTGGTTTTGTTTGCCTTATCAGAATCTGAGGTGCTGCCTAATGGTCTCCTATTTTTAGATAGGGTAGAGAAAAGTCCTTTTTCTCAAGAGAGGCATGTCGAAGTAATTTGGGATGAAATATATCTGAAGCTTGGTTTCAGTAGGTCTCATCATCAGAATGTGCCTCTGTTAAAGGAAGCATGAACGGCCATCAGACGAGGAGTGCCCCGCAGATCACAGTACTGCTGTCTTGGTGCACAGCCCAGTTGTGCCAGGACACTGGGATAGGTTGTTGGAGACAGCATGGGAGACATGGTTTACCAGTAAAGCTTAAAGTCACCAGAGCCTGCTCTGAGCAGGGTTCAGTGGGGACAGATCAGAGAGATGGCACCTCTGCCCCACATGGTGCTTGGCCTAGCAGCACCCCCTCTCCCACAAAGAACTTGGTCCAGCGGCAGCTGGATGGATGAGTGATGCGTGTCCTTTCCACAGGGCCCTCAGTCCTGCCCCGTCCCTGCTAAGAGAGGGGTTTATATATAGGTTGAAGGAGCAGCGACATCCTGAGCTTGGGCTTGCCTGGTGGCTTGTCTGACCAGCCTCCCAAGGAGCTGCCGCCCTGGAGTCCATGCAGGAAAGTAGCTTTCTGCAGATACCAGCACCTGGACCTGGTTCCCAGTGTGCCCCAAGGAGCCGGGGTCCTTCAAGATGAGACATACCTGGACCTTCCACCCCGGCTGCGCTCACTGCTGTCTCACCTGGGCTGGACAAGGGGACACTCAGGGGCATGTGTCTTACTGCCCCAGCTTTCTTTAAAGATGACACAGCTATGCTTCCCTTACTTGTTAAGCATGAAATTCAGTTATTTTTCCCTCCCTAACCAGTCTCAGGACTCTCTAGACACCAATTGGGCATCCTGCAACTCAACTCTGGAAATTTATGCAGACCCTGTGGATGGGTCCTTCTGTCACCTGCATATCATCTGACATGGCTGCAAACCCAGGGTTCCATAGCCCACGTCGGTTCCACGCTCGCTGGAATGGTTCACAGAATTCAGGGGAGTGCTGGACTTGCCCTGAATTATTATGAGGGAATAAATCAGGAATGACAAAATGCAACAGATGCTCATGTGAGGTAGGTGTGGGCAATGGGCGTGTCCAGGCCCTCAGGGTGTGGTCCTTCAGCCCCTTCCTGTGCTGGCCCAAAGCTCCCTTATGCCTGTTGTTCAGAGGGTTTGTGAGGTTCCATTACGTGGTCATGGTTAATAAATCACTGACTGCTAGTGACTGAACTAAGCCTCCAGCCCCTTTCCCTGTCCAGGGTCCCCAACCCTGGAATCACTGCCTGATCTCCTGGTGACCAGCCGTGTCCTGAAGCTGTCCAGAAACCACCTACAACCATTGTTTCATTAGCACGCCAGGGACATGGCACACATTTCAGGAGCTACAGGCCAGGAACGAGGGACAAAGCGCAGGTATCTGTTTTGTATTGCGTCACAGAAACCCTGATGTGGTCTGGGTGAGGCACAGGAACTGCACCACAGGACCACTTCCACGGGGCTCCTCTGCATGGTTCCTTATTGATCCTGCATATTCAGACTCTGTTAAAGCTGGAGAGAGATGAACCGGCAGGTTCTGCTGTACTCAGATGTACTCAGTGTCTCTCCTGCCTGCAGAACCTCACTGCATGGTCTCTGTGCCTGAGCGGGGTCCTGACATCAGGCTTCCTTTCCACCTTTATCAAGAACCAGTGCAAGCCAAGGAGCACAAGGATGACTGGCAAAACTTACCAGAGGTTGGAAGAGGCATGGAAGTACCCTCTCTAGGTCCAAGGGGAGTATGGCTCTGTTGACACCTTGATTTCAGGACCTCACCTCCAGAACAGTGGGTCAATGAATTTCTGTTTTAAAATACACAGTTTGTAGTACTTTGTTACTCAGCCCTAGGCTAATACACTGCCTGAGTCTGAACTAAAGATGCCATTTGTTTCTCCCAATCCATCTTGCTAACCACATCCACATTCAAAAGACTACCCCAATATGGAGATGAAGAGAAATCGTGGAGAAATAGTGGTATAGTTTGGATCTGAAGCATCCCCTGAAGGCCAATATTCTGAAGACTTGGTCCCCAGCATGATGTATTTGGGAAGTGGTGGTGCTAATGGGAGGCTTTTAGGTGGAGGCATGCCCTGGGGGTAGATTATGAGATCCCAGTCTCTTCTTCTTTCTCTTCCACTTTCCAGCCACGAGGTGAACAGTTTTCGCCCATCACCTCCTTCTGCCTTGATGTGCTATGCCAAAGCAATGGGCCAGCTGATCATGAACTGAACCCTCTAAAACTGTGAGCCAGAGTGTTTTTCTCTTTAAAAGTTGACCATTTTAGGGATTGAGGTTGTGGCTCAGTGGTAGAGTGCTTGCCTAGCATGTGTGAGGCACTGGGTTCAATTCTCAGCACCACATATAAATAAATGTCTATCAGCAACTAAAAATTTTTTTAAAAAAGTTGATCATTTTAGGCATTTTTTTTATAGTGACGGGGAGCTGACTAACACAATACTGACTTTGATCTGAGGAAGGGACCAAAGAACATAGGTGGGGCATCTGGAGGGCTGAGCTGGAAGTTCACAAGGGAGCCAGGTCAGGTCAGGTCAGGGGACCCAGGGACTGAGGACTGACTTGATCTTGAGCACCCAACTCCCAAACTTTGTGACCATCCGCTGGGGACATTTCAGTCTGAGAGCCCTGTTGTCTCTTCAGGAACAAGCATCAGATCTGAGACCCCCAGCAAAGTCTATACCCCATGCAATGGGCATTGCCCCCTTCTCACACACTACTGCTTACTTCTGAGGGAAATCTCAGCACATTATAGTCCTGCTTCTGCTGGGAGGAAGGGGGGGCCTGATTCCAGTCCCCTCTGGCAGCACAAGAAGGGGTGCAATGACAGGGAAGAAAGGACCCCCAGCTGCAGGAGTGGCCCCTCTATCTTCCCTGGGCTTGGCTGGGTCTCAAAAGAATGTGTGGGTTTTTATAAGAAATATGCAATCACTTTATTTACTTACATAACACTTTTTAAAAAATTTTTTCTTTTTACATTTTTTTCCCTGTAGGAGGGGGAGGATCTTGATTTCATTGGAGAAAGAGGGTGCATCCTTCCATGGATGGTATGTTGAATAGACACGCACCTCCCACGCACACACAAACACAATTACCCACAGTGTGCATTACATATACACACACCCATCTGGCTTTCACCTTGAAGGCTCCAGAGGTTGGAAGAAACCAGGAGAGGATCCAGGAGAAGCCAAACCTGGAGCAAGGAGTATAGCAGCAAAGAGGGGAAGAAGAAGCCTCATTGCCCAGGAGACCAGGACCCATCTCTTACCCAACTCTGCCTCAAATCCCATATTTCTCTCCCTGAACCCCGATAATGATTCTCCAATAATTTAACCAGAGTAACCCCACCCTTTTGAGCTGGAAATAAGGGTTCCCTAAGGCCCTTCTGGACTCTTCTGTTTTCATTGACAAGGTGGGAATAAAGTACATGGCTTCAGCTTCTCATTTGTGTGGAGAAAAAATTTATTAGAACGGGGAGGCCAAAGGAACATGGAGGGGGTCAGCATGGAAAAAAACATGAGTGAACATCCCCAGAAACTTGAGGAACTTTTCACTGATTTTCTATTTCATGTCTTGCCAAGAAAGTGAAGAATTGGTTTAATCAGCTATTTACACCCTCAGGGAATGTGTGGTGTCAGTCGACTTCCTCTGAGGACCCTCAGAGCTGGGGTGTGTAGATGTGTACTGGCTACCTCTGTCTTCTTGTGGCTGTTGAAATGTGGTTTTATTGTTAATTACTTACTTATCCTTCTTGAAAACAAAGGGCTTCTCCCCTGTGTGTGTCCTCTGGTGCCGGATGAGGACTGACTTCTGTGTAAAGCCTCGCCCACATTCCCTGCACACATAGGGCTTCTCCCCTGTGTGTGTCCTCTGGTGTTGGATGAGGTTTGACTTCTGTGTAAAGCCTCGCCCACACACCCTGCACACATAGGGCTTCTCCCCTGTGTGTGTCCTCTGGTGCTGGATGAGGTGTGACTTCCGTGTAAAGCCTCGCCCACATTCCCTGCACACATAGGGCTTCTCCCCTGTGTGTGTCCTCTGGTGCTGGATGAGGTCTGACTTCTGTGTAAAGCCTTGCCCACACCCTCCATTTTTGACTCTTACAATTCTTGACATTTCTACCCCCACCAATATTTTGTCTGTGTCCTCTGGATTCATTTCCTGGTCTGCTTTGAGGTCATCCTCCATCATTCTCTCACTCTCCTCAGATCTCCCCATTTGTCCTTTGGGTGGGCTAGAAATTCCCCTCTGCCTTGTCCCTTTATGTGTGGGTTTCAAACTTCCTTGGACTTCTTGACCTCTGGCTTTGTCATTCCAGCCGTGTGGATCAGGATGTTGCTGTTCCTGAAGCTGATCTCTTGGAGAAGAGTCCCCTGGTATGAGTTTTTTTCTCACAGATGTTCCTGGGAAGATCTGAGAGGGGTGACTGCGATCCACGTGCTGACTGAGGAATTTCTGACTGGAGAAGGCCAGAGAGCATGAGGGACAAGGATGGATCTCTGGCTTTGGTTCTGCTGAAAGAGGAAGTTATTGGTCAGGACAGATGTAGACAAGCTGTCTGCGCATCTTCTTTGCTGTGTGGCAAGGCCTGCATCACTACTCAGTCTTTATGTGCTAAGAACACAAGCTATTTCCCCCCACAGTGTATTTTTCTAGTACATTTTTATTTTATTTTATATGCTCAGAAATCCAAAAAGCCCAGGTCAAGGGCCTTTTCTCCATGTCAGCCAGACTAGGGACCTTCCAGTAGCATCAGAAGCAGCTTCTCTGCCTCTGATGGAGCTGCAGTGACCACGCCCCACATGCCATGACTCTCTTGTAAGACGTGTCCGTCTTGCCCAGCCATCCTCTGCCACACCCTTGCATATAGATTCCTGAACACATTTCCTGATATTCTGTCTGCAGCTATTTCATTCTATTGAGAAATAACACTTGATGAATTAGGTAGAACTTTCTTCAGTGACTTTTCCTAGAGAGGAAAAGGATCTGTTTATTAGCTAGGATCCTCTCATCCTGGGGATCTGCAACTGTGGGAGGCCATATAGAGGTGTATCAGTCAGTCTGAATTTCAGTCCGCCAATCAAAAAGAAAGATGTAGTTGAGGACTGTTATATGCCTGTCTCTCAATGAGGAGCAGGGTTCCTGCTGGACAAGAGAATGTGGCCCAGAACCCACTAACTGAGGGGCTGTGGCTTCTGCTGCACAACAGCCATGAACTGCTTCTCTCTCCATGCTCCACAAATCATGAAGTGAAAATATGCCCTTCCCCAAGCCTCACAGCAAGCATTCATTTTTTGACCTATTTAATTGTCTTAACCCATTACAAATACAACAGGAATTTCTGTTTCAAAATAGATCCTAATCAGTTGTCTTCCCTCTCTGACTCCCACCTTCTCCCAACCTCCTACCCTCTCACCTGAAGGCTGAAGTAGCATCTGAAGGGATCACACACTGCAGTCATGAGTTAACCACAGCATCATCTTAGAACAGAGAACCCAAACTGCAATTGTCACCATCTCCAGGGTCTTGGCACAAGTCATAGGCCCCAACATTTCCAGGCCTTCATGTGTCTTTGTTCTCTGCTTCCTTTACCTGAGTGGTCTCAGCCAGTCACCAAATACCAAACCTTTCCTGCCTCAGGGCACTTGCAGGAGCTGCTCCTTCTGCCTGGAGTCCTTTACCCACAGCTATGTGCACCTCTCAAATTTTATCTCCTGGGAGAACCTTCCCTGACCATATCTGCTACGTTACCCTTCCCTCACATGGATTCCCAAGTGCTTTCTGTAGGTCAGTTTTCTTCAGATGTGTCATGTACAAGCCTGCATGAGAACATGTGTTTCTCTAATCCGTGTGCCAGCTGCCCGAGAGCAGTCATTCTCACTGTCTGTTCAATTTGCACGGTTTAGTTCCCGGCACAGAGCAGGTTCACTAGCTGACATAATGAATGAGTAACAACACATGCACATTATTTAGAGATTTAAAGGAAGTTAAGGGAAACATATGAAAAGGCCAGGAGACACTGGCTCAGTGAGAGAGCATGCAGGGACTTGAGAATTTGCTTTAGTCTCTAAGCACAATATGGTCTTATATGTCAAGTACTTAAAGTACTTACACATTAAAAATAATATTTTAAAATAAAAAGATGGTTCCTAAGAGTCAAAGGCTTATGACATTAATCTTTAATTTCTGAAGTACCTGTTTGAAATTCTTACTGGCTTTAGATAGCCTATCACTCTACTTGAGAGCTAAAACATGAAAATTCTCAGGGAGAATGATTTCTTTCCTTTGTTTTAAGGAATCATAGTGGCCCACCTGTCCCTGCTGAGAGCTCTTTCTTCCACTTGCTGCCCCACTTGATGCCCAGCTCCTGGCCGTACTCGTCCCCGTACCACACCAGCAGCTCACAGCCTGGCCTGATGACCCGGCAGGTTCGGTAGAAGATCTGTCTGTGGTACTGAAAGGCTACCAGGTTCTGCTCCTCGTCATCCCGGGCACAGTTCACATACCTGGCATTGAGACAGGCAAAGGGAAGGAAGTACCAGGTGGTCAGTTCCCCTCCCTGTCAGGTCTGTGTCTGTCCCTTCACCTGGTGGTCACTGCTTCCGTGCTCTGATGATGCCACCCCACCCACTTCCTCAGGAACCTTTTCTGCCCAAGTCTCTTTCACAAGGTCATATGCTCACAGTGCTCACCTGGCCTAGAAGTCTTTCCCTTCACCTAAGCCCAGTTCCAGATGTCCCTCCACCTTGAAGGCCATACTACACAATGACCCGCAGGTTCTCTGAATGCTCATGACTTTCTGCCATACACCACAGAACTTGGTGCTGGCCATGTGCTCTGATTCTAGATTACGCCTGAGTCATCTTCTCTGGAGAGGGCTCTCTACTGCCTGCTCAGGTACCATTCACCTGCCTCACCCAGGTTCCCATAGAAACTCAGGGGTCTCTTTATCTTACTGATAACACCCTATCCATGTGCTCTATCCCCTGGTAAAACAAGAGCCCTCATAGTAAAGGGCACACAGCATGGGGACCCTCGGCCCGCTAAGGCTTTCTTCTCCTCAGGCTCAGACCCAGTGTTAATGGCTGAGGCTATCAAGATTTCTTGCTTACAGATTTAAGGTCCCTTTTAGGTTGCCCTGGAACTGTGTACTTTTCAAAATGAAACAAAAACAATAATAAAACAAAAAATCCCAGGAAAAGTACAGTTAAATGTTCCTGTAATAAAATGCCTCATGTTTGTCTGCCATAGTCCCGCACATGGACATGGGTTGTATGATCTGTTCAAATAACAAAGTCTGCTCTTTGAACTGGAACACACTAAGTGATTAATAACTTTTGAAAAAAGTATTACTCCGGTTTCTCAAAGGAATTTAGGCTGCTCGAGCTTCATCTCAGTGTCCCAATTTTGTCTAGCATGGAGATTTGCGTTTTTGATAAAAAGTAAATTATGGTATTTATATTTTATTTCTCTTGTCCCAATGTTCATGATGTGAAGAGTGATGTGCAAGAAAAATGAGGAAGAGACGCCTGAGAACCACTGAGGGGGCCTGAGGAGAAGGACAGGAATATCCCTCCCCAGAGCCCAGGGACCTCCCGGCCTTACCTCATCCAGTTGGCCTGAGATTCATCCTTTCCATCCACGTACTCATAGCAGTTCCTCCCCTTGGTGATCTGGGTTTCAGGAAAACAAGTTAAAGCTCTGAGAGGTGATAACGAGCACAATCATGTCACTCTGCTTTCATGGATGCTCTTTGAGGCTGCGCAGATTCAGCCACGCCTTGGGACCACACAGTACGTCCCTAGCCATCATCCACATACTATGATGACTTTCCCGGCAGAGCAGAGGCTCCACAGGGTGGAGGCACCAATCTGTTTCTACACTGCTTTGCTCCCACTTACCCTCTAATTTTGAAGGGGTTCCATGTGCATGCAAAGATCCTCGAGCCCACAGAGCTAACCATGTTGCCCTGTCCATGTCCTTACACATCACACCACAGCTAGAAAACAGGGAAGGGAGGCACTCTCACCAGCCAGGAGTACCCGCTATTGGCTGCCTCTTCATCCTCTGTGATCTGGCCCCTGTAGGGGCCAAAGTGCAGACCCAGTGGCAGATCAGTTGCCTCATTCCACACACCTAGCCCAGCCTCTGGGATGCTTGATGGTCCAATTCTCAGCCCGAGGGGCAGACTGAGGGTCGAGTGATTGGAATGGTCCTTGTTGACCACACTGTCCTTTACGAATGTAGGGGGCCCATGAGCAGGACAGCTGTCGATGAAGAAGTTCTGGCACTTATCACAATCTGAAGTGAGAGTAGCAGGTGTTAGGAGAGGTATGCACACATTCCTGTATATAAAGAGTTTTAGAAAGTACAGCACCATGCTATTTCCACTCAGTCCTGCACTGTGGGTCAGTAGAGGAAGGGAGAGATGTGAGGGCTGAATG